AACACAAAAACTCTCCGATCACACTCTTAATCTCATGGCTGTTAGACGGGAGATGAGGCTGCAATCGTCAACGGATTTGACAGCATACAGGCAACTGAACACAGAGATCTCCAAATGCATGCGGCGAGACGTACGCAACTTTAATACTGCTCGTATCGTTTTTATCTCTATCGTTTCCGAGACACCTGAGATTTTGAGTGAGATTGAGAGGTTCTATGGGCAGATGTACACATCATCGTTGGAGCCACACGCAAGTGTGAGTAACGATTCAAGAGCAAGTCTTACCCGACACTATTCCGATGATATGCCGGAAGTCAGTCTGAGCAAGATTAGAATGACTCTCCAGCACCTTAAAAACGGCAGGGCCCCGGGCGAGGATGGAATTACAGCGGAGCTTCTGAAACGAAAAAAACGTAAACGGGTGGAATACCGGTACTTGAAGTCCTTCAGAAGCTCTTCAATTCCGTCCTCCATGGTGGCACTACTCCGGAGGCGTGGAGCAGAAGTGCGGTGGTCTTGTTCTTTAAGAAAGGCAACAACGCTCTCTTGAGGAATTACAGACCAATTTCCCTTCTGAGCCGCGTTTACGTGCTGTTTTCGAGAGTCATTACGAATCGTCTCGCACGCAGACTCGACGACTTCCAGCCTCCCGAACAAGCCGGTTTCCGAAAAGTCTTCAGTACCATAGACCACATACATACCCTGCGGTAGATTGTACAGAAAGCCGAAGAGTACAATCTGCTACTTTGCCTGGCGTATGTGGACTATGATAAAGCCTTTGATTCCGTCGAAATTTGGGCGTTGCTACAGTCCCTTCAGCGGTGCCAAGTTGACTGTCGGTATATCGAAGTGCTGAAGTGTTTCTACAGTAGGGCTACGATGGCTATCCGAGTACAGAACCAGAGTTCGAAACCTATCAAACTGCAGAGAGGTGTAAGACAGGGTGACGTTATATCCCCGAAACTCTTCACCCCTGCGTTGGAAGACGTTTTCAAGCTACTGGACTGGCAAGGATACGGTATTAACATCAATGGCGAGTACATCACTCACCTTCGATTTGCCGACGATATAGTCCTTATGGCAGAATCGCTGGAGAACCTTAGCACTATGCTCAATGACCTCAATGGTGTCTCCCAACGGATAGGTCTTAAGATGAACATGGACAAAACCAAGATCATGTTTAATATCCATGTCACGCCGGTATTTGTTGGGAGCACTATGCTCGAAGTTGTTGACGAGTACGTTTACCTGGGACAAATAGTCCGACTAGGTAAGTCCAACTTCGACCGAGAGGTCAATCGACGGATTCAACTCGACTGGGCAGCGTTCGGGAAATTACGACACATCTTCTCGTCAGGTATACCTCAATTTTTGAAAACTAAAGTGTACAACCAGTGCGTGTTGCCAGTGATGACTTACGGATCAGAGACGTGGTCCTTCACTGCTGGCCGTATGAGGACGCTCAAGGTCGCTCAGCGAGCTATGGAGAGGGCTATGCTCGGAGTTTCTCTGCGTGATAGACTCAGAAATGAGGATATCCGCAGTAAAACCAGAGTGACCGACATAGCATGGATTAGTAAGCTGAAGTGGCAATGGGCCGGCCATATAGCTCAAAGAACCGATAACCGATGGGGAAGAAAATTTCTCGAGTGGCAGCCTCGTACCGATAGGCGTAGTGTAGGGCGACCCCCACTAGATGGAGTGACGACCTGGTAAGACATGCAGGAAGTCGATGGATGCAGGTGGCTCAGGACCGTGCTTTATGGCTTTTCTTGGAGGAGACCTGTGTTCAGCAGTAGATTTGTGAAGGGCTGTAATGATGATGATGATGAATAGTCCACCGCTGGACATATGCCATACATCACATTACAGGATAATATTTATAGTAGTTTTATGTAAAAATTACGTCGTGAACTAAATCCGACTTCAATGGTCCGTTTTTAAAAACTTGTGTTGTGGAAATAACGCAGTCAAACTCTGCAAACATTTCTGGACTCGACTAATTTGCGGTAAATTACTGGCTTTTGAAGTGGTATTCACAAAGCTCGTGGTGTAGGTATAGTTCAAACACGGGTAAAACTCGCTCACTTCGTGAACTGCAATAATTATACTGTAAAATGCACGTGAAACACAAGTCTTCCCAACGTATAGAGGCGTCACACAGCGAGCCCGTCTCATTTCTGAGAGGGTTATATTGTCAATATTATTACAAGAGACTAAAATAATTTTTGGGTGTGAAGAGGAAAGTCAAGTCAGTATGAATGTCTTTTCAAAAATGCGCTATAGTTGGGTAAATAAACAGCATATTTCTGAGAGAGTTATGAAGAAAGAAATTTGAAACGCTCTAGTCATTATTGCGGGCTTCATTCCTATTATGTCTTGATGTGTTTGGCGGGGAAGGAAAATATCAGAAGGAACATAATATTTGAGAAATTAAAAAAACAGAAAGACCTGTGAAGTCCGCCAATATAAATTGACGTATATAGTCTGGAACTTTAGTAATATGCTAGTCACAACATTATTTACTGCCTCTTTGTTGGCATATTCAAAGTAAAGCATTTTAACAAGAAATACTGATGGAATTTGTTAATTGACGGCTCCGTGACGCAATGGGTTAGGAATGAGTTATGGCGCTAAGGGCCGCATGTTTGAATTCCACACGGAGCAGGTATGGCCTACAAGTAATTGTTCCGGTCCCGTGGAATTTATGTACGTAAACTGCATCCACGATACACGAAAAAGTCCTTGTTTGGGAATCACCTCTTATTTTAGAGATTAGATAAAAGGGGACATTTTTTTGTATATTTTTAATCTTGAAGTTATCCATTCATTATCGGACACTGAATATATAATAATTTAAAACAGAATTCACCTAGATGATTTAAAATTCAAACAGCATCAATAAGAGTCTCGGATTAATAAATCTACGCCATTTTGAAATAAAACGATATCGTAAGCGGGCCGTGGACTGCAATCTCCGATCAGCTTCCGGAATTAAATGGATGGAAATTTAAATTTAAATTGGGAATTTTATTTCGCTATTGAAACTGAACGTATAAAGTTTAGAAATTACCGTGTATCCGACCATGGATTTTGTACCTTACCGTAACCGTTACCCTTAACGGTACCGTTAAAGTTACAGCATATTAAGGTCCACTGCTGGACACAGGCTTCCCCCATAGATTGACTCATAGGAGGGAGTTGCTACGCTTGGTAAGCTGGTTGGCCACCGCAGTTTTTTCTTTTATTCCAGAATCTTTCTTTCTTTCTTTCGTTCGTTCTTTCTTTCTTTCTTTCTTGATACGTCGGCTATCTTTCGGATTGGGTGAGTGTGTTTGGTAGCACTTTTAAGTGTAACAAGGATACTCAACTTCATGTCTTATTATAATAGCGCTATTATTATAGATATTACGATGAGTTGGCGCTAAACTAATAACAAAATTACCAATTTTGTTACCAATGTCGATAGGGATCTTGTGGCATTCCATGATAGTCTTCAGTGCTGACCACGCATCTGTAGTTCTCCTACGTTTGAAGTTGGCTGCAGATGCAGACTTTTTTGAACGGCAGAGCCACGCTGCAGCTATTTTATAGTTGCAGCACGAATAGGTTGGATCGACCGGGAAAGCATAACGCTCTCACAAAATACCAGCGTAAACTGGTAACTTAATGTTGCTTTGTTTCTTATGGTGAGTGTTATTTCTAAATTGAAACATCATCATCATCATCATTACAGCCCTTCACAAGTCCACTGCTGAACATAGGCCTCCCCCAAATAATGCCACAAAGCACGGTCCTGAGCCACCTGCATCCATCGACTTCCTGCATGTCTTACCAGGTCGTCACTCCATCTAGTGCGGGGTCGCCCTACACTACGCCTACCGGTACGAGGCTGCCACTCGAGAACCTTTCTTCCCCATCGGTTATCGGTTCTTCGAGCTATATGGCCGGCCCATTGCCACTTCAGATTACTAATCCGTAAATTGAATGTTAAGTCCTAAATAATAATTGAGTTAATAATTAGTTCAAATTACACAAATAAGTAAATAGTAACGATAATAATAAATGGCGTAGGGAAGTGACGACCCCATCGCCCGCTGACGTAACGGTTATGTGACAAAACCGCTACTTCAGCGCACAGTCAGCACCTTGCAAAGAGGTGTTAGTGCCGTGCCAAAAATTGTAGGTGCAAAGGCCCGCTTGTGCACATGGCCCACCATACAACGGAACCGGGTCTGGGCGTCTCCCGTTAAATGACGCCCACAAAAATGGATGATGGATTCGACTAGAATGCGCAAAGGGCCGCTGCTTGGAGGACGCCAGGGACGCCATCTGGAGCTGGCGCTGGACGCGACAGCATATGAACCGCCAGCCAACGAGCGCGAGGTGCTGCACGACCACCCAGCAGCCCCTCGCATCCATCATCTTCACCAGCTGGCTTGGTGTCGGCAGGGTCTTCGCGGGCCCAGCAATCGGCACCCGCCACTGGTGGAGCACGCCGCATGCGTTGGACAACTCAAATGAACAGCAACGCATTGCGGGCGTATTTTAGGGCGAAAGGGGGAGAAATTGGAGGTTTTGCGTATCGGGCAAGGATGCATCGACTTTTTGCTGAGTTGGAGCCATCTGTAACCGTCACCAAGCAAAACCTGCCAGACCGAGTTCGATATATCTTGCTTTCAAATACATTTGATGTCACCGAACTCGAACGGCTACGACGTTAGGCTCTTCCTTTATCGGATGAAAATGCTACGGCTGAGGATGCGGCGCCACAACTTGCACAGCAACCGGCAAACGTGAATGCTGCCGTGAATACCTCCGTTTTGGTTGATTCAAACGATGATGGAACAGTCGCCCAGGAACTGGAACTGGAGCAAATGAGGAGTACATTGGATGAGGTGATTTTGGAAACGCGCGGTACGCCTCTCGAAAATCGACCGTGACTTCCCCGCATAGCCCTCAGCAAGCGGAATCGGGCTGTTGTGAGGGCTCTGAAACCAATGCAGGTGACCTATTTGGAAGCCAGCCGGGATCTTTGCGAGACGTACTCAATTCTCTTTGGCGCCGCAATGGCAGTCCGCCGTATTATAGGCGCCAAACTTTCCACGGCTGGACGCAATACTGGACAAAGTAGTGCTATCCCAGCCTGGAGAACAAGAATTGAAGAACGTATCGCAAAGGCTAGGGCCCTCATCGGTAGACTGATATGCTTCAGGTCATGCAATACCAGGCCGAGGATTGTGCGCACCGTCAGGATGGCGTTTGCTGGGACTGGAGCGCATAGACAACTGAAGCAGAGAATCGCTGCTTGGGGAAAGCTGATTCGGCGATATACCGAGAGGTCGACATGGTTTAACCAGAATCGTCTCTTCCAGAGTGATCAGAAGAGGCTCTATAAATCATTGAAGCGACCAATGGTAAGTGAAACGGGCCCAGTACCGAATCAGGCCGACACGGTCGCATTCTGGCGCAGCCTGTGGTCAGAGCCTGTAAACCACAACGAGGGCCCTTGGACGGAAGTTGTGGCGAGACAGTGTGCGGGTATTACGCCCATGGACCCCGTCATTATAACGCCGGAAGACGTAGCTGAGGCGGTCCGTAGGGCCCCGAACTGGAAAAGTCCGGGGCTTGACGGGCTGCATCACTACTGGCTGAAAGGGTTCATGGTGTGTCATGCTGTGCTCGCCCTACAATTTCAAGAGGCTCTCAACCAGAAGTCGCTCCCGAGCCTCTTCACTACTGGGATCACTCATTTGGTTCCTAAAGATCACGATGCCACAGACCCGAGCAAATACCGCCCCATCACGTGTCTACCGACCATATACAAGACACTAACATCCATTTTGAGCGCGCGAATCACTCGTCACCTGGACTGAAATAAAGGGATGTCGCGCGCTCAAAATGGATGTCGGGGCAGCGGTCGTGGAACCAAGGAACCACTCCTCATTGACGCGGTCGCGCGGGCGGGGGCGGGCGGGAAACGCAACCGTCGGAACTTCTCCGCCGCTTGGTAGATTACAGAATGGCATTTGACTCGGTGCCCCATACATGGCTAAAGAGGGTCCTCGAGCTGTACAAGATTGATTGTATAGTTCGAGACTTCCTCGAGCAGTGTATGGGGCAGTGGATTACGATCCCCCTGTCATCTAGGCGAGCGGATGACGGCTGCGGAAAGCCGAATAAGGATAAGGGGTATATTCCAGGGCAACTGTCTGAGTCCAATCTGGTTCTGCCTCTCCTTGAACCCTCTCAGTACTTTACTGGAGGGCTCCGGGAGGGGATTTCAGCTTCGGAAAGGAGGTACAAAAGTGGCCCACCTTTTTATATGGATGACCTCAAATTATTCGCCTCCAGTCGCTCCCATCTTATGGAACTGCTAAACATCACTTGTGAATTTAGCAGTTCCATTGGAATGGAGCTGGGGACGGATAAGTGTGCGGTCCTCCATGTTGAAAGGGGAAGGGTTGCTAAATCTGAGGACATAGACTTATCTATGCCCGTCAACTTAAGGACCCTTTCCGAGGCTGAAACATACCGATACCTGGGTATGTCACAGAACACCGGTATCGATGAGGCTGGTATGAAACAGTCAGCTTGCGACGTGTTTTATACACGCTTGACCAAAGTGCTTAACAGCATTTTGTCCTGCGTGAATAAGACACACGCATATAATGGCTGGGTCATGCCTGTCCTCATGTATACCCTTGGCATACGCAGGTGGAGTCAGACTGAACTAAACGCCCTGCATAGAAAAGTCCACACTACCATGACGTCCCATAGGATGCATCATCCGAGATTGTCGGTAATGAGGCTGTACTTGCCGCGAAAGCATGGTGGGCGTGGCTTCTTGAGCGCGCTCACTATGCATAATCGCGAAGTGTGCAGCCTCCGTCATTAGTTCCTTGCGAGATCGGATGATCCACTTTATAATGACGTCATTTCTAGTGAGAAAGGACTTACCCCTCTATCCTTTTGCCAACGAGCAACGGCAGGAACGCATGCATGGTCCCCCGTGACCATGGTTGCTGGAAAGCGCCCGAAACGTCGGGAATTAAAAATAAAAGTAAATAAAAAGTAAAAATAAACGCGATAAAATCCGTAAAAGTAGTTTTAATCAAGCCTGATACTGTGCTGATGGACCGGGTACAGTCAAGGAAATTTTTGGTCGACATTACCATTCCGTATGACGAGAACCTCGTGAAAGCCGAAACAGATAAACGAACAAAATACCTGGCTCACGAGGTGACTGACATGTGGGGTGGTCTGCCGGCCGAAATTATTCCTGTAGTCGTGTCTGCGTATGGGCTAATCACAGTTAGCCTCTCGGGTCATCTGAGGCGACTGGGACTCCGTGACGGACCGCTCCGGGCTCAAATGCAGAAGGCGGTGCTCCTCGATACCGCCCGCATCGTCCGCCGGTTTCTTTCCCTTTCCTCTTAACCCTCGGCCGTTTGGTCTCCCCTGCTGAGGGCTTCCATCTGGTTGGGCTTTTATTTATTTATGTATTTTTGTATTTATTTTATTTTAGTTATATTTATGTATATTTATCTTTTCATTTTAATTTATAATTATATATTTATAGAACCTAACCAGATGAGAAAACTATATAGATATCCCAATAATAATCAACAATAGTCATTATTTTGTTTATCATATTAAAAATATTCGTCATATTAAATTATATCATATTTCTACAATTTACTTTTGATTATGTTTAGTGACTTGTTTAACTACACCCTCACAAAATTTATTAAACTTTTTTCGCGTCCTTTTTTCAATGAGCAGCATGTGTAAATTTCTCTTTTATAATCTGAATATCGGTTCCAGACTCGAAATCGTATCTGGCTTTATCAAACCGAGGACACTGCAGGAGGATGTGCAGCACCGTCTCCTTGATTTCAGGCTCACAGACGCATGATGGGCCCTCCTTGCACCGAAACCGATACAGGTACTCGCAGAACCCACCATGTTCGGTCATTGCTTGGATCATCGTCGGAGACAGCGCTGTTTCCCTAATCACCTTGTGGGCTGTCTCAACGTCCGGCAGAAAGACTTTAGTTGTTCTGGCGGTCTCTCCCTCTGTATACCTCCGGTTTCATTCTTTAAGCATCTCAGATCGAATGAGACGCTTTACAAAAGAGACTGGGCAAAGGTCGTCATCCGGTTTTCTTTTTGCCCGCAGCGCCGCGTGTTTAGCCAGCTCGTCAGCTCGTTCATTTTCTGCAAGACCCGCATGGGCTTTTATCTAGAAGAGTTGTAGTGTTTTTTGTTGCCTTAAGATGTTATAAATGTTTTTGCGGGTTTGACTGCTAAAGAGTGTTGAGAGTCTTGGTTTACAATGGTCTCTAGAGTAGACCTAGAGTCACTGTAGACCTCGAGAGTTGTCTCCGCGCTAGAGAGAATCAGCTTAGTTGCCATGTATTTCCGCCTGGTAAACGGTACAGTAGTCCGACAGTTTGAGTTTCAGAGTTCGGGTCTCTCCAGCATTATTCCAAAAAGATAAAGCTGCTCCGACATTTCCCTCCATTTTACTCCCGTCTGTAAATATTTGGAGACTCTGGTTGTTGTTGAGTCTCATTTCGTCCTCGTTTACCAGGCATATGAATTGCAGATCCATAAAGGATGCGGGGTGAGGCAGTTCCAATGAGCTCGCCTTTGTCTTCACCACTCGGTCTGCCAGCAGCGACTGGAGTTTTCCTCTCCTCGCCTCAAAAAGGGATGCTGCTTCTTGGATCCTCAAGTCCAGCGGAAGCAGACCAGACAGTGCTAGCGCCGAGTGTAGGGATACGGTCCAGTACGCTTTGATAATTTTTTGAGCGAATCCTCTCTGCATAGTATTCAGTTGCTACCTGAGACCCAACTTTTTAGCGGCGGGCGCCCACGCACTCGCTGCGTACAAAACCACCGGCCCAACGAACGCCGTATACATCGTCCTAATAATTTCGGGTTAAAGGCCCCAACTGATCTTTGCCGCTCCCGATAATTGTGAGTAGAGAGATGTGGCCTTCTTGCACACATTCCTAATGTGTGTGTTAAACGTAAGTTTTTTGTCTACGGTGAGACCAAACACCTTGATCTCCTCCGACATGCGCACCACCATACCGCCCATGCTCAGACGTGGAGGATCGTATTTTAGTTTGTTGGTTATAACCATTGCCTGGGTCTTATGTGGCGCAAATTTAAGTTTATTACGAATTCCCCACCTCATAACATGTTTCAGAGCAGCATCCGCACGTCTTTGGACATCAAGTGCCGTGTCCCCCGCAAACAGTATTACGATGTCATCGGCGAACGCTTGACACCGGTCACTTTTCTTCCATTTCTTTTAGGAGAGGGTCGAGAAGAAGATTCCATAGGACCGGTCTTCCTATGGAACCTTGTACGCACCCCTTAGTGGTTGCCCGTGTATGTTCCACACCTGCATATCTAAGTCTCACTTTCCTATCCTGGCGATAACTGTCCATCAATGTTCTTATATTATTGGGGCACTTTTCCTCAGCCAATCAGCATCTTATAGCTGGCCACCAGGCGATATCGAAGGCCTCCTCTATGTGAAGAGATATTATCAAGACGATCTTTTTATTGCGCAATTGCAGTTGGATATCTTGCATCATATCATAGAGGGGAGTCTTCGGTGCTCCTTTGTGGGGTAATACCGTATTGACGAGTACTACAACCGGGTAGGACATGGTATCTGATCCTTTTGATTATCATTTTCTCCAGGATTTTGCCTAACACAGGTAGTAAACTTATTAGTCTTGTATTGTGTATTTTAGGCTTTGGGGTGCGTATAGTCATCCTTTTCAGGTTTCCTCAGAACAACTACTACTGTCTTTTTCCATTTTGTAGGGAAATGTCCCAACTCCAGGCATTTGTTGGCCAGGCTCAGATAAATCTCCGGGCTATGAAAGGTGGCTTCTAGGCAGATGTCGGCCGTAAAACCATCTCAACCGGGTGCCTTTTTTGGGTTGAAGGTGCTTGTAGCATACCTTAGCTCCGCAAGAGTAAATGGTGGGTCACAAGAATCATCTTGCGTTCCCACGTTTATCTTTTCAGCTATCTTTCTTATACGCTGGTGGTCAGCGTTATCAGTTTCAACCTCATCCTCCGGGTAGAATGTTTCCGCCAAACATCTCACCGATTCGGCATTATTTAGAGCTACTCCATCCTTTGTGAGTGGCAGATCTTCATGCCGTTTAGCAGTTCTGCCGATAACTCGGTATATACTTTCCCACAACCCCTCTCTAGTCTGTCTACCACAGAACTCTTTCCAGCTTTTTATCTAAACCATTCGGTGATCGCTGCCAATTTTCGCCCTTGCGATCACTGAGACATCACTTCTTATTAAGGTAAAATTTTCCGTACATGTGTTTTCGAATAGAAAGGTTACAAAGCTTTAGACATCCCAAATGACTGTAAAATAAAATTAAGAAACATACAGTCTTAAAGTTAAAAAAAAGTAAAGTTACAGCCTATATACGTCCCACTGCTGGGCACAGGCCTCTCCTCATTTCTGAGAGGGTTTTAGGGCAAGGAAGTGTCCCCCGCGCTGCCCCAATGCGTGTTGGCGAACTTCACATGTCTTAGAATTTTTTTTTCTTTATTCCTCAGACATGCAGGTTTCCTCACAATGTTTTTCTTCACCGGCGAGCACGCGGTAAATCAGCACTTAAAATTTCAATTAACAATTTCATTAGTGCCGGCGTGGATCGAACCCGGTTTGCCCGCGTACTGTGAAATTTACAGCGAGCGCTAACCATCTGAGCTACCACAGCTCTATACGGTCTTATTCGTAAAAATCCACTAAAATGGCGTTATAACAGTAATTAGTTAAAATGCTAAATAGTACTATTAAACCTAAAAGCAGCTCAGTGCA